GCTCCACCACAACGTCCCATCCCACCTTAAGACAGCCTGCAGTAATCAACGCCTTATAAATCATGCACAAGAATAATGCCTGGATGCTCAAAGCCCGACCGGGATTAGACGATATTTTTTGACAGGGTCGATGTGGGATGGGTCAAGGCCGGGTTCTTGATTGTCACAAGCCTGAATGTTTAATGGGTTTTAAGTGAGCGTAGAAATGAAGCAGCTCAGTTGTTGGTGAGTTATGCATGCACAAGTTTAGTGTTTCTCAATGTGATTAGCAAACCAGTTTTATATTTCACTTCTGGTTTCTGTTCGGGCGACGAGGGCTGAGGCGGAAAGAGGGATCATGGCAGGACACCGGAGACAAAGGGAGAACGCGTGTCGTGGCTTGTCGTTTGTTATTTGCTTTCATTGTTTGTGATGCTTTAACTTCATCTTCCTCGTTGACAGAGCCCTGAGTCTGTCTGTACGCAGTCTCCCTACGTGCCCACCACTCCGACTGCCAAGATGCCCAACACAATGTGTGTAAGATTGTGCAAAAGCAAATACCTCTGCAACAGATCTTTTCCAACTTTCCGTCCAAAAATCTAAAACCAGTAAGGTACTACTAGCATCTCATTCACCTAAATTAGTCGTAGCCTCTTGACGGAGTGTTATCTGATCTTTAGTCTTAGGTCAACCATCTCATCCATTCGTCTGCCTGTCCAGCTATCACTTCAGTCACTTTGGCGGCTTCACCCTTGATTGCTATGTGACCGCACACATGCAAGTCCAAGGGATGGAGCGGGCGTTTGGTTGCAGACTCTGACCTACTCTCCTACATTTATCCCTCCCCACGCAGAATGTCCAAGGAGCCCAGTTCCAACCTGGAGAGTGCCATGCAGATGCTCATCAAGACCTTCCACAAGTATTCTGGCAAAGAGGGTGACAAGTACACCCTGAGCCGGGGGGAGCTGAAGGAGCTGCTAATAGAGGAGCTGGGGACCTACTTGGGGGTAAGTGAAGGAGGAGGGCCACAGTCACGCATACTTTTCACAAACGAGCAGCAAAAAACTTCTGTGACACATGAGTGGAGGTATGCAGAGCGAGTAGAGACAGGCATGCTGATGTATGCTGCGCTCGGGAGCTGACTTTTCTTCACTTTGTTGGAGGATCAAGCTAGAGACAATTCAGAAACACACATAAATCATAATGAACAGTGATGTCAAAATACACTAAATTGGGAGGTTCACAGTCAGCGATATGCAATGATCAAGGTGTGCTGTTACTTATGTATGATAGGGCTTCTACAGAACAAGGCACGCCAACATAGGATTAGAAATAGTAGGTTACATTTTCACATTAGACACAAATACACAGAAAAGTTGGATGAGCAAAACCATACGGGAAATATAAGGGACAAGACAAGATATCGACCTCATTGGGGAATCTCTATCACTGGGTTTTAGGCCCCTTTACCATCAAACTGCAGCTTAACCATTTGCTAAAAAGGGCCTAGAAATAAAAATAAAAGCTAGAAAACCAAAAAATTTACTTTACAAACTTTAACCCTTTAATAGTTTCCTCATCCGTTTGGTGGATCACTTTTTGAGTCACTATATCGACTTGAAGCTTGGAATTGAAATCTACCTCACCGGGGTTTTAGGCACTTTTACCATCAAGCTGCAGCTCGACCATTTTGTAAAGGCCTACATTTAAAGAAATAGGCAGTTCAAAAAAGAACAACATTTAAAAAATAAAGATTTGTGTCTTAGAAAAAATAGAATAAAATACATTGCTTTCTTCAATAAGTGCATATTACATTGACTGCAGCCGATTTTGATGATTTCACTGATTCTCAAAACCCACAGAATATTATTTCCTAAGATTATGTGAAATATGAAACCAGATTCTAAAAGACTGGATTGTCTTCTTTCAACAGCAAATATAAGTTTGTTTCTAGCTATTTTTATTGTCCTGTAATCCCCAGTCAAATAGAGGGTCTCAGACAAATACGTCAATGGCAGTCGAGTTAAAGGGTTAAAGGGTAACTATTATGCTAAAAGATCGACTGATTTGATTTGAATACTTTTTGAATACTTTATTTTGAGGCGTACAAAATTCATACAAAACCATTCTGCGTCATACAGAAAGCACTGTACCCACTGACATGAGCAAAAACACACACGGAAGATCTGTACAACAAATCTACATATATAAAAGACGAAAAGAGTTTGGCTCCAAAAGAAGTGGGAAGAAGAAACTCATTCGACTATTGACTGAAACTGAAACTATGCCTGCTCTGTATCCCGTGTGTGTGACCTGGCCTTCTCTCTCCCCGTTCACAAACCCACAGAACTCCAAAGATAACGAAGCCGTGGAGAAGGTCATGAACGACCTGGACTCCAACAACGACGGAGAGGTGGACTTCACCGAGTTCATCATCCTCATGGGGGCGCTCACGGTCGCCTGCAACGACTTCTTCCTCGAGTACAAGACAGACGAAAAGCCAGAGGAGAAGAAGGAATGAAGGATTAATTCTCCCTGAGGCGTTTGAAATGATAGGGAAGGCTTCACCATTGTCTTAAGCAATTTGTAAACACACATCCCCTTGCATTGCGGAGCGGGGCGGTCTCCAGCTGTAGATTCTCATGGAGCGATGCAAGTTTGTTTTTCTTTCTGGTTTGTACCAAAGCATATCCGGAACACTGTCTCAGCACTACCACTAGGATCCTCTCTCCTTTTCTCCAAAATGATCTGACACTTTGTGGTATGTTTTGAACGAGCAATGGAAACAGGAAGCCGTGGCATGTTTGAGAAATACTTGCACGTTAATTTGTTATTATATCAAGTGGTATCTGGTGTATGTTCTCAAAAAAGAAAGAAGTATTGTACCACCTTTCTTTTGTAATCTATCTTGGTGATAATAACCATAATGCACTGTGCAAAAAATATTAAACTTGGTATTTAACCAAAGCATGTCTGTTCATTCTCTATAGTGTGAGAAAAGAAAGAAGTCAGAGAAAGGTACAGTTTATGATAAAGGTCCAGATGGATATTAAAGGTGACGGTAGTGTCGCCGCACACAGGGACATTTGTAGTCTGCATTTGACCCAACCTTAATGTCCCTACAGTGCAGAACAATCTCCAAATGTTGATTCTCGGCCTGGTCCGCACTATCAGAGCTATAGAGGCTTTTATCTGTGCCGCAAGTAAAGGGTGGTGGGGTAAACCGGAGCACCTGGAGGGAATCCACCGAGACAAAAAGAGAAACATGCAAACTTCACACAGAAATGGGCTGGTACATGATTGAAACCAACAACCGTCTGGCCTTAACCTGGTAATACAAATAATACAAATAAGGGCCTTGAGCGACATCTTGGACACTTGTAGAAACTAAGGCTTAGAAAGTTATTTTAATACGGCAAAAAATGTAAAGAAGCTGGTACTGTTTGATTACCACATGTTTGGGAGACAGACTTTTGCCTTCGTCAGAGATTTTTGATGGTGTGACGCGTCTCTCATCAGCTGTTGTTGTCGAATGCGGTCAGTCTGACAGATCGCACAGAGCCGTCCGACTGACCGCGACCAGGAAGCGAGGCGCACAGACCATCAACAGAGACAAGGGGGGCCTTCACCTTGGCTCACACTTGGGATTCACTTCAGAGACCAGAACACGGCGGGGGGCGCGGCCAGAGTGAGATCCGTCAGACTGACCGCATCCGACCACAGCAGCTGATCAGAGACGTGCCCAAACATGTGGTTATTAAGCAGTGCCAGATTCTCTAAATGTTCTGTCTAATTAAAATAAAACCTTCAATGCCTTAAAGAAAAGAAGATAAAATGAACTTTATACATTTAGTTCTGCACATTTTAGTTTGATGCCAAATTGTGAGACCTTCAGGGAAAAGTAGTGATCCATTGCAGATTAAACCCACACAGAGACGGGATCTTTGTGCACCAGTTTATTCGGTCTCAGTTGCTTCCGTTTTTTCAGTTTTTCGGAGAGAATAAAGTAGTGCATCTGCAAGTAGAAAGACAAGGCAAGTTAATTGTATAGCACAGTTCATACACAAAGCAACTCAAAGATACCAGTACACCACAAGTGTCAAAGTCAAGGCCAGGGGACCAGATCCGGCCCGCGAGACCATTCCCAGTGGCCCTTGAGATGATTTTAAATGATTATATTAAATGCATTAATGGTCATAGGCGACAATAGTATGTTACTAATCTATTACTGAGAAAATAACCATAACATTTAGTTCCATAAGAAATGTGAAGCCAACATGTAGAAGTTAGTATTATGTTAGGTTTTCTACGAGTTACAATTAAATTTCTTCTTATAAATATGAAGGAGGATTTCCCAATTTTCTAAGGAAAGAACCGCCCTCTCCACTTTTTGAACAAACCTCTCTGGTCTTATTGGACGAGCACAAATCACCAGAATGATTGATAGTTGGGCGGAGCAATAGTCTCAATAATCCACCCAAAAGTAGAAAATCTTCCTATACAGTATACTTTCAATATTTAGTCCAGTTTTGGTTCAGTCCACAGTAACTGAACTCATTCTAATCATAAAATATCCAATCTAAAATGTCAAACGAGTCATTTATCTAGATACCTTCATATTCCAAAAAAATATTTATAAATGAAACCCACTTTTTCGGCCCCTGACCTGCCCTTTATGTTTCTATTCGGCCCTCAACTAAAACAAGTTTGACACCAGTACACGAATAAACAAGTTTCATCAACTTTTATGCTTATTCTCATTCAACTACACCCTCTGTCCCCGCACACATTTTATTGTGATTATTTAAAAATAGTGACACATAAAGGATGTGCCCTGAGGTCAAATACAAACACAAGTCAATATCCAGAGCTCTGTCACGCCCTTTTAGATTGACATTTGACTATCTACGAAACACCTGGGAAGTAAAACACAAATGAACCTCAAAAAACAATTGCGTCTAAACAACATTCAAAGCACACAGCGACAAAGTCTGAAGTGGTGGATTTACTACGACACTGACACCGAACAAAAGATGTCAGAGAATATGAAACTCAAGCATGCACCTCTGGACTTGGTTTCTCTCGCCGTCCCTGTATTTTGAATGGGGGAGTGTGAGTTATTGTCTTTGTGCGAGCGTGTCTATTGGGGAATCCCACTGAGTAAACCGCTCCAGCTCCACACACACATCCTGCCAACAATATCCTGCAAGTCCTGTTCCACTAGATATAAGCTGACCCAGATGTTTGCCTTGGATCCACGCAGAAACCTTCAAAAAGGGGAGACAGAAAGGGCGTGAGGAGGAGAGAGGAGTTTGAATAAAAATGTGTTTAGGGGAACAATATGTGGACGGAGGAGGAGAGCGCCCAGAAGAGTGCATCAGAGAAGTATGTAAGTTGGAAGGCAGCTGTATAATCAGGCAGGAATGCTTCGGCGGTGCATAGTTGAACCCGGGCCGTAAATCAACATGTTCTCCCGTCCACCTCGCTGGTTTTCACGGCTGCCTATCACTTTCAGGCCATGACAAAGGGAAGCCATTGCATCATGTGTGTTTGAATAAACTGGAGTCGGAGCCCGTAAACTGTGCTCAATGCGATTGTTGTTGTTGTAAGTTTATGGAGGAGATGGAAGCGGTGGGAAGGAGGGTCTCTCAGGGAGGCTCGGAAAGACTGCTTGACCCAACGCTTTGATTCAGACACATAACAGGCCCTTTTTTATTGTAATGATTTATTTGAACCGGGACAATGCACAATAATAAACATTCATGTAAACGTTTTAGCTTCAGCGTCTCTGGGCACAGTGTAAAATGTTATTTAAAGGACATATATAGAGTAAAGATTAGTACATTGAGTGTCAACAGCACATCACCCAAGAGGCTTCCTTCACTTCCACGGGGGAAATTCCATAATTTTCCATTTCAATTCAACTCAGAACAGCAGTCGCCTCAGAGTTGTCAATTCAAAGTTGTCAATTCATCAACAACAGATCAGAGAATCAAACGTTCAAACACAAGCTATGTAATAATAACAAACACATAGGAACCGTTGGTGCATACGGAGCTGGATGACCAATGTCCATAAATGTCCTTTCATGTCCTGGACCATCGGCAAGGAACGACTCAAAAAAACAAAACAAAAAAGGTGAGAAACCTCGGGGAGGCCCACACTGAGAGAGGGACCTCGGACAGGCTGTAGATCCAGGACTCTGTAGAATGAGGCCTGAGACTGTGGCGGCTCCAAGGCACTGGCTCCCCATAAAACAATAAAAACAAAAGTCCCATTGAGATTAAGCACCTCTTTTTCAAGGGAGTCCTGGACAAAAGTTACATACATTTACATACATTACAGATTATAAAACAGTTACATACATATCATAAAAATAATCACACACAATTTCAAAAAAATACGGATTATAAAAACAGTTACATTTCCACACAGACTCTTCCTCCACTGGCGTCAGAGTTCAGAAGTGAGAACTCAGAGTTTATTCTTACGAACTATCAGCTGGCACCGGTCCAAACAGGGATTTACAAACACATTATTTATCTCAGCTATGGTTGTCAATTCAATCTCATCCTTATCTGTATATCTGTCTATATACGATCTGATATATACATGTGACCTAAGTACCTTTTTACCTTCTAAAACAATAAATGCATAACGTGGGTTAAAACCAATAAAAAAGCCAAAAGACACTGGTGAGATGGTAAAAACATGAACGAGACAAGACTTAAAATATGCAAGAAAATGACTTCTAATCATCTACATGTTGTTATGCCTTGTTCAACCACATGCCTTTGTACTTTCCGCATATATTGGAGAGAAACTATTTAGCTAAGTTCAAAGTTAAAGGTAATATCTGCAGACTATGAATTCCTTTAGGCAAAGTGCTACAATCTCCCCAGAAAAGTGGATCCTTATAGTCAGCCAATAGACTTCACACCTTTGGCAAACACAAAAACAAACAAAAATCATTAAGATCTGGACAGTTTTAGAAAGATATAGACTATAGTGAGAGTCAAAAGTTCCTGAAGGTAAAGCCAAAACAAGGGATTGATACAACAGTGAAAGCCCAATTCTTATTTAAGTTTATTTAAGCGTCTAAAGTGCTGCCAACAGGTCTTGTATGAACATCTGTGGTTGGAATAGGCTCCTCCCACATGAGCAGGTGGGGGCGGGGCCATGTCTCTTGGAAAGTCCATTCATTTTGATTGGTGCGTTTTAAAGTTTGCGCCCAAATCCGAGTAAACAAAGGAACACTGGAGAGCTGTGACGGTTAACTCTCTGCCTCCAGCCAAAGAGAGTCAAGTGCATTCATGTTGGGGAGAGCTTTTATAATCAGGGAGAATGAAAACGTGGAAAAGGCCGTTACTCCCAAAGCGGCTTGTCAAGGTTCTACACTTTTATGAAATTGTGTTAATGAGGAATGTGTTATGATGCAGCTGTCCCATTGTGTGTACATAGTGTGTACATAGTGTGTACTTAGTGTGTACTTAGTGGGCACTTGTATAGAGTGGTCATTTT